AKSAKSGWTRMYWCMYMAAARARGMKRTTYGACAAGCTKCAWAACCAATTCAAACCYTAYAAMGGTATATTTGGATGTGATCTTAGCCCCGGAAATAAGAATAAGACGTACAATGGGACACTTTTCCGCTTTCCTCTCCGWACAGCYARYCAAGCMAAGAAAAGCAAAATCAAAAACCTTTGCTAYGATGACAATCAAGTAAAAGAGCTTCTTCGAATCCTGCTGCATGGTGCTGAATCTTTGTTGCTATTCACGCAAAACGTTCTCACTGTTGGAGTTTACCATTTGAGTGATGAAGACCAGGATCCATCGCAACCAGTTRAACTCTTCTCCATTTCAAAGTCATGCGAAGATGTGATACACAGACTTCCGTGTGAAGTGTCGTTGTCAAACCAAGCGCAACAACTGAAGGAMAGTGAGCAAGAATTTGTGAAACAGAGCAGTATTTTGAAAGCATCGACAGAACGACTCAAGACGCTAAACTTACCTCCATCTAAGRTYCTAATGACATCATCTCTTGTGATCAGAAGCTGTTGTAAGTTATCAGAACGTGGAAAAGATTTGCTACAGATTGTAGATGCAGAGCAAAATTCAAAAGCTRAAAGYCTATGGCTAGTCCACTCCTGTATGGTTGGCGGAAAAGTTCTTACTTTATCTCGAAANCAGCAAATTGGATTTTCAAAGGACTCTTTCTTACCGCAGGAAATTCATGAAGCATACCACAAAGGCAATTTGGGTTTGCTTCCACGTGGTGGTGTAGCTGTAATGATTGACAAACCAATGGATATGACGGGAAATGCCTTCTGTTTCCTTCCTTTACCATTTCAAACAGGCTTGCCAGCTCATTTAAATGGTCATTTTGCTCTTGATCACGAGGCACGAAGAAGTCTTTGGACAAATGAGAAAGGAGATTATCGAAGCATATGGAACCAAACTCTTCTAAAGAATGTAGTTGCGTCATGCTATGTTGAGGTGTTGGATGAGGTTAGGAAATACAAGTCATTAATGGTGATAGCTGAGAGCAAGACGTTTCTGCAAAAAAGCCGAGAAGATGCCGAACATATGCTTTCGCAGTATGCGCACTATTTCCCTTTGCCGAGTACCTGCGATTCCCCTTGGAAGGAATTAGCTTCTGAAGTGTACCTAGAGATGGACAAAAGAGGTACATGTCTTTTACCAGTCTTAAGGCAAAGCAGTGCAGCAAAAGGCAACGGTGAAAACATGATTATAATCGAGTGGCTGCCTCCCACTGGAAAAGGTCGAGAAGAGGCTTTTTTTGATAATCTGCCAAAGACGGAGACGCTAACCAAAAGGGAAAATCAGAAGTCTAAGGATGTCGAAATACGTCTTAGATTGCGAGAGATATTACTCTCTTTGGGATTCAATTTGGTGTTCATGCCAATGGACATATGCAAATCATTCCAAAATTCAGGAGTGCACGTTAGCGAGATTACCCCTTTCAAGGTTATCAGTTTCTTTGCCACATACAAATCAGCACATAAATTGTGCAGGATCAAGCGTCTTCCTCAGTCATTAACGAAGACACCCTTTCAAGATGTAACAAACTTGGTTAAAGTTCTTCAATATTGTAAAAAAGAAAAAACCTTCTGCCCATATCTGAACGGCTTGCCCCTACTGTTAACAGAAGATGGAAATTTACGTGTTTTCGACCAATTGCAACCAGTGTTCAATTGTGAATGGCATGCGTTGGTGCCCCATTCCAAATCGCTCTTTATGCATCACAGACTGCTTGAAATTTTCGAAAGTGATTCACAAATGCCCTTTTTGAAGGTGTTTGACATAGAAGAATTTGTCAGACTTCTCCCAAAGGAGCTCTGTGAGGCCAAGTACAACTGTAATTCAGACTACATTGAGTGGAATCCATCGAAAAAGGAAGACAAACTGCCTACGAAGCATTGGTTATGCAATGTTTGGAGGTTTTTGTCGTTATATATTGAAAAACAGATTCAAGATGACCAACAGAAAAAGTCCAATGATCACGAAATCCCGTATGCTCAAAGAAGAAAAATTGAGGAAGAAGCTAAGAAAACCATCACGCAGGATGCCTTAAAGCCAGTCATGAGCTGGTGTCTTCTTCCTGCTGTAGAGAGTGTTGCTGGCCATGGAAATGAGCGCCACTTCTTGGTACCTTTATCGCTAGCACATTCACTTATAATCTACAGCTATAAACCGACATGGGAAAGCTTGAAAGAAATTCTGAAAATGCTACTTCTTCCTGAGATAAACTTCCCCATAATCAATTGTGGGTGTTGGCCGTTGAGATATTCCACAACTCCCGAACGGCTTGTAGCTAATATGGAGGACCCACTGTCTATTTTGAGTGTTCTATTGTACAAGCTCAGCCGTGATGCCTCGTCATTTCATAGGCTCGATAACTCTAAATGTAGACGTCTCTTGGAATACTTCAATGATCACATAGATGTTTTGAAGGAAGATGCCAAGGATTCGTTGAAGAATCTCCCATTTTTTGTTACCATAAATGATACCCAAGTCAGTATTGAAAACAAGAGAACATTTGCTCTTTCAAGACGAATTCCATTAGATGGCATTCACATTATTCAAGAGTCGAACATCGTCTTGCTGAAAACCGAGATATCCTTGGAAAAGCTATACGCGTACCTTGGGTGCAGTATTAAAGATGAAGTTGAAATTTACACTGAAGAGATTTTCACGAGACTCGGAGATATGACCGAAGAGAAAAGGCTAAATCATTTGATCTTTATTCTAGACTTCATGAAAGATCTCGATGGGAACATAACTAGATACGCATCATATCCAGATCTCAAAAAGGCGAATGAAATGAAAAAGAAAAAGCTCAGTGATGCCCTTACGTTGCTTAAATTTCTCCCACGAGAAGGAGTTTTGAAGCCAGCATCTGCGTTCTTTGATCCTTCTATTAAGGTTTTCAAAGAGATGTTCTGTGATCAACCTGAAAGGTTTCCGAGACTGCCCTTCTGCAATGAAACATGGTTACCATTCTTGCGACAAGTTGGACTCATTCATGAAGTAACCGAGGGCCAGTATCTTGACTTTGCACGAGAGGTAGAGGTTGAAAGCAGCCAAAATAGACATTTATCAGAAGCAACAAGAGGGAAGTCAGAAGCCTTGATATCGTATCTGTTTGATGAGATATTGAATGTTGATTCCCGCGATCCCAATGATACGTTTTTACTGGAATTAAGCACAATACGCTATATCTTTCCAAATGAAGTTAGTAAGGAACTCCAAAACATACATGAGCAGCATGGAATAGAAGATGATGCGCTACCGTGCATTTGTTTTAAGGAGTCCGTATTGAGAAATAATGAACCCATTGCCTGGACGAGCTCAAATCTCTTGCCAGAACATGCCAACCCCTTTAAAAAGGTTAAATGTGAGGTACCAAAGGAGTCCGTATTGAGAAATAATGAACCCATTGCCTGGACGAGCTCAAATCTCTTGCCAGAACATGCCAACCCCTTTAAAAAGGTTAAATCTGAGGTACCAAAGGAGATCATTGATCTGCTGGGTGTTCTCCAAAAGCCGACCATAGACATGGTAATAGTGCACTGCCAAAACATCTGCAATGTGCTATCACAAATTCCTTGCAAGTCTGATGGAGCTAGTAACATTCATCACCATCCTAAGTGTATCATGAAAATAATGAAAAGCATCTATGGATTTCTGCTTAACGAATTTCGCTACAAAAAGGCGAATTCGTGTGAAAAACTTACTAGACTTTCTACTACCCGTTGTCTTGTTGTTGACAATGGAGGTCGTTTCATTTATCCAAAGCAAGCCGTTATAGAGTTAAAATCAACTATGCAAATCCGTCCATATCTATTCCAGTTTCCTCTTGAACTGGGTGGTTACGCTGAATTATTTGAACGTCTTGGAACGACCAAGTTTGTTACACCACGACATTATTCAMTGGTTCTTAGAATRATTCATGACGAATCAAAAGGCGATAAACTGCYTGTCAACGAAAAGAAGAATGCTTTTCAAGCTACCRCCAATTTGTTTGAAATTTTAAAAGAGAAGAAAGAGTGTGAAGRCCTTCAGCTCTACCCACTTTACTTGCCGGGAATCGCAAGAAGCCCAAATGCCACGCCGAAAGAAGACGCGATAAAGTTGTGTCCGTCTACTGAAATCGTGTACAGTGATTCTGCCCGTTTCAAAGACAGAATTAAAAAGATAAACGCCATCATTCTGGTAAAATTCAGTGATATTAACCTTCAAGTAAGTAATGATGAGGATCTTTTGAGCAAACTGCCYAAAAACSTTCGYCCAAAAAGCGTTTCTTCGTTAGTTTGTGAAAGCTTGGTCGAAGGTAATGAATTAATATCACGCTCAGCTACAGCTSTAGAACTTGATWACATTCTAACGCACGTCCAGTTTGCCAACGGGATTATTCGTATGATTAAGCATAACAAGCATCAAAAAGGCATTGAAGCAAGTACTGATATCCAGRGAGATGTGAAGAAGTCTTTAAGMTGTATCAAAGTATACAGTGCCAGCCGTCTTCGGACAAAGCTTTTGTTCAAAGGAAGTGTCATACTAGGCAGTGAAGCAGATGTAACTTGCTTTGAAAAMCAAGTCCATGAAGAGAACCAGCTAGTTTGGAGAATCTACATCAAAGATGGATCAGAGTTGATYAAGTKCTCTTCGAGAGTTGCACAAATTGTGGACAGAATAACAGGCTCTCAACTTGGAGACATGTTAGTACATCTCTCAACAGTACTATCCATGAACCCGAACGAAATCAGATCCTTCCTTGATGAATTAGAAGTACGCGAAGACAATGCAACTCAAACTTCATATCTTCCAGAACCCGGAAGTTTTGTTCACCTTGASGATCACCACCTTCTTGTAGACGCWTTCAYGTTATTTTATTCAGGAGACTACGTTGGCTACGAGCTTGATGATCCAATCCTTCGTGATGAAAATGGTACTCCAACGTACATCTACGCCGTCATCATAGAGGAAATCGAGTCTGAAGATAAAAGCTCACCATATACCAGAAGGTATAGGATCGATATTGGAAAGCGGTATGCTGATGTAGATGCAGTTGATTTGTACCAAATACATTSTCATAGAGAMGAATGCACCCAACTGGAAACATCACAGAAACCTTCAGGAAAACAAGAAAATGYAGAGGAGKTAAAGYGGCTTATCAATGAAGCACTAGAGCATGCTTGGACGCTTACAGAARTGAGGAGGAGAAAGATAATCAAACGATTACTCTTAGCCTGGCATCCAGACAAGAATTCCGGAAATGAAGAGTTTTGTACGGAGATTTTCCAGTTCCTTAGAGCGGAAATCGAAAGATTAGAGAAAAATGTWAGACCTTCTAGGAYACCAAATTGTAGCCCTGATTACAGMGGTTTCTACRACAGTTTCTGCAGCCGGTATTCAAGTCGTGCTAGTAGACATGGTGCCCAAAGAAACTTTTCTCCTTTTTTCAATCGAAWGAATCCTCAAATAGAAGAAGCGTCAAGATGGTACAAACAAGCCAGCGCCGACCTCGAAGCAKCAAGTAATGATATGCAGGATCACAAACCTTCCTATGAATGGGCGTGTTTCAAGTGTCACCAGGTAGTCTATATTTGAGTCTCATTCACTCATTTGTTTMGAACGAAAAAGATATACTTGATTATTCAAACTATTTACTATATGATGATATCGGGATCGTATTAGACTAACCTCTGTAAATGAGCTCAAGTTTATCATAACTAGGGAAGATAAAGATTATTGTAAAACGAGTTAATTTCCTCGAATTCCAAATTTATATTTTCGCCTTTCGCACCGTTTTTTTTTTTTTTTCACTTTATTTAGAGTGTTAACTAGTTCRTTTTATGTGTTTTGTGCTTTTATAGGCTGCAGAAAAAGCGCTCAAAGCTGCACAGTATTCACAAGATGCAAACAAAAGTACTACTCACAATCTATCAGAAATTGCCATCAGTGTCGAAGATAGTGAACTGGAGTCGTTAGCCTCGTCCTTAGAACGATGTCTTGGAGAATCAACACGCATGCGCTATCCAGACCGGGTCTGCTATCCCAACATTCCACACAATATGTACACCAAGGATATTGCCGAACAAGCGCTGGAGATAGCAGCAGCGATCCTCAATGTAGTCAAAAGCAAGTTTGTGAATTAACTTTGGCTGTAATSAACGCCACAGCTAAATAAAACGTAGATCAAGATCCCTCCTTTAATTTGGGGATGACATATATGACTATACCAAAGTAGGTGCATGTTAGTAGTCGTGGTCTGGTATACATATGACCTACAGGCTTTTTCAATGTGTTTTTTAGATCAGTTATCAAAGAACTTTTTAAGTGTCAGATTGTATAACTCCCAATATATCATTTTACATATAAACAATGTTTAGTTTATAGACAAATACTTGTACTCATCAAAGAAACGTTATAACTAGTGTGGACGCTTTCAGAGTAAACGATGTGGTTTATCAGTCGCTAATTTTCTGATTTAGCGAGTGGAATAAGCGAAGTTCAGTGATATCTCAATCATTTTTTTGTATTTCACGTTATAGTGTATAATACATACCATTGTATTTTGCAGCCTAAAAATCTGTGAAAAGGTGTGAAATTAGATTTGTAGAAGTTAAAGCGGAYACCTATATTCAAAATCTAGATTGCAATAAAATGCATTTGGCTATATATAAGTATGGACATTCTTGGTCTGATGGTGAGTTTTCTTTGAAATCAATCTTTTTCTCTTTTCTTTTTGTTGTTGTCTTGCTGGTTGTATCTAAAGTAAGAGGCCTTCCACTGTATGGTTGCTGTACCGTGGATAAACATCATCGAGGTGTTGCTCAGTTAGCTTGACTCTGCCGTTTTCTTGCAGTTCCAGTTCGATTCGGCTGAATGCTCTTGTTCTACTTCCTTTATGAGTTCTTTTTGTTTTTGTCGACGAAGAGAGTTTCCTGTACGATGCGTTGCTGTTTTTCGTCCATTTGTTTGGCGGGTTCTCTTGCTGGCCCCCTCTATATAATATCCTTTGCCACTCCTCTCTTACTCTCTGACTTCCCTTCTCTCTATTACTATCTCATTTTATCTTCGGACTCCAAGATATCTGTTTTGAACCAGCTGCATTGAGCTGCATGAGCCATCAGCTTGGTTTCTATCGTTCTTGTTCTACCGTTTTTGACGGGAAGTTCCTTGTCCTAATAGAGTACCGGGGCTTTTTCTCTCTTCGTACAACCTGAGCTGATTTGATTACGTTCTCATCAGTTGACGTCGCATCTCCTGTTTGCTCTTTAACTTTGACGTCACTTTCTTTCTTCCCATATTTGGCTTGAAAGGTATGCTCGCGATGAATGATTTCGTGAGCCTGCATTATTGATAATCGTTTGTGATGTGGTTTACATCAATTGGCAAGGTAACGCTGATAGCTATCGAACATGCTGAAAAACAATATCAAGACTCATTTAAGAGTTTCTAACGCTTGTCTACTTCACTGCTGATCATGTCGGATGTCGGTTCCGTCACAAATGTAAGATGGCAAGCATCGATCCACTTTATTTATTTTTATTATGTCTTCACTACCTGTCTGTTATCTTGTTGGTGTTACTGTCAGCTAATACCAGATCTTTCTCGCTCAGACCTAGCTTTTTGACAGTGTTGGACAAAAGTCGTTCGGTCTTCGCTTTTGCCGACTGAGTGTAAAGTTTCCTGGAATGTACGTCATCTGTGTCGTTGGCAGGTGTTCCTTCATAAGAAAAGTAATTTTCATTGTGAGTTTGTAATGTTATAAATTGTGAAGGGCTGGGAGGTAAGTTATAGAACTTCCTTAGTGGATCAGAACCAAACTTCTATTTTTATCTTATGTTCTTTACGGAAATGTTAATTGTTTTGGTAGCTTTCCCTTGCCGCCGTTTTTGCCACGACTATGAACAGTTCAGGAAGGCTTATTTCAAAAAATTCAAACACATTTTACCTGATGACTTAGATGTCAATACGTCACGTTTTTGATGTAATTCATGTTTCAAATGATGTAGAGACTTTGTGGTCACCTCTGTAGTTTGCTGTTCGTATCGTAACAGAGGACACGCCTTTGTATGTGCTTTAATTTGTTTAGATATTTGTTTTGCTGTTTGCTTCAATCCTCTTCATTTGCTGCGTGGATATCGAGTGCAGTCGTATATTTGCAAACAGAATCGGATGTATAGAGTGCTGTTGCACGAAATTCAAAGAAGAGGAAAAAGGATAACCTGGTGAAGTTTGACTTGAATACCAAAGAATTGCCCCAGAAAAGTTGTCCTTCGTTTAGCAGCCATATATGGTAATCTTACCTATCTTATCTTCATGCAATCCATTTTATGATTTCTTTATATGAACGGCACAACTAGATTGCTTAAGGTCTGTAAATCCCATCGCGGTCTGTTGCGCCAACAAACATCACTTCTCATTGAAGAAATGTTAAAGTTGTTGGGTATTAACGATTGGCTAGTGTGGTCTAATGGTATGTGTGCAGATCTAAGAGAGGTGTGTGTGGCCTTGAAGCCTGTGTGGCTTTTAGTCTGGTCTATATGACTTCAATGCCTGTGTGGCGTTCTGCCTGTGTACTCATATCATATGTTTGGTCAAGGAGGTAATGGATGAATAAATTCTGTTACAGCAGTTTAACTTATTTATATTTGTTTATCTTAGTTATCAGAACTTTTTTCAGCTCTTTCAAGAAACTGGCACATTGGTGCATCTCATCAACTGCTGATTATATAGAAAGGTATGTGTGAAACCTTATCCTTATTTACAATGTTGATCTGAGATTTAACGTGGTATGAGTCTTTTTCAAATTTGTCCAAACTTGCTGCTGATGATCAAATGCTTACACATGAAATAGATTTGATTTGTACAAAATCATGAATATTCAATAAAGTAAATAAAGTTTAATATAATCTTATTGCATAGAAGTGTTCTTCACCTCACGTATGTATATAGTAAAAGCTAGGACAATGAAACTAACAACATTTAAGGGTGTACTGACATATCCGTTGCTAGGGAAATTCAGTAATTCTCTAAAATGACAAACAAAAGTAAAATCGCTTTCGTATGGAGTATTAAGCCTTCCCAAACAAAAACAACACATTCTATGACGTCATTGTATGACGTCATCGTGTCACGTCATTAATACGAAAAAATGCTATAATTTCATCAAGCAAAGCATATTAAACGATTTAAAATGGATGAAATTAATCTTTAGATTTAAGTCCGTAAAGCCAAGCATGCGTTTTTAGAATGATTGCCAAATAAGGTTTATACGATTTTTTAAATGCCACAAATGAGCGAAAAATGCCAATAACTTTCGTATTTTTTAATTTTTCGCCAAACCCATGCTCGGTTCTGAAGAGGAGGCTGTGAAGAACATAAATATTGAAAAAAACACGTCCATTTGATGTTTTGCACCGAAGATTGTATTTTTTGAATGATACCATACATTTTATGTAAACAAAAACCTTTCAACCGGAAGTAAAAATTTTCCCGCCATGAAAACGCGCGCGCGCCCTCTTCTCCGATTGGCTATACAATTGTAGCATCGGCTAGCATAGCAACCAAGTCGTCTAGAAACGGATACGTCAGTACACCCTTAACAACAATCATTCAATTGAATTGTCTAGTCGCTGTCAATGAAATTGGATAATCAATCATTTTACTCTACCCTCATTGTTGTTAATTCGAATTAAATCAGTATAATAATATTATGGATGAAATGACAAAAATTCTCTAATGCACAACAATTGAACACTGATTTGTTTGTTTATTGAATACCAAAGAATAAAAGAATGGAAAAGTTCAAGGGAGATAAAGTTCAAGAAAGAAAAAAGTTTCAAATTAATGTTTAATATATTTCTGCGAGATGTGCTGAGGAATGCTGCTGCAAGTGAAAGGACATTTATAGTATTAGTATGTGAAATATTAAAGTTACCAGTAAATCAAATATGCAACGATGGTTAGCTTATATTTTTTTATACTTCGTTCTTCTTTATCACCTCTGGCGAAGGGTGGGGCACACTAGGGATGTATGCCCCCTTTTGGAACAATTTGTGCACTACTTCAAAAGAGATTCAGTGTTGTAAGAGATATTTTCATGATGAGGTTGTCATGGTATATTATCTAAAAATATAATTTAAGTATTTGTTATAATTAAAGTATTTCAAAATAAAATAACTAGACCCTGTATGCAGGGTTGACACGTACCCTTGTTGTACATGATGTTGTGAAGTCAAAATAAAAAAATGATTTGATCCTTCGAGCCTTGCCAAGATATGATTTTTTGCGATAAGCTTATATATGTGGTGGCTCTTAAAATATCGGGTGTACCCGCCTTTGTGGTTGTGCAGTATAATTTTAAGGTCAGATATATAACTAGGTATGAATCGCTTACAACGTGACGCTTTATTAACTTTTCATTGCACATCTACATTAAACTCGACATATCCATTGCAGATGTTTGAATAGCCATGAAATTATAAGCATTTTCTAAAGAGTTGTATTGATATTCAATCATAATAGTTGCCATTGCTTCACGAGTACTGAGCGTGTTGATCTCTGTATTTGAGATCTCCTCGTCATCAAAATTCAACATACCCTTGGTCCGAACACCCAGACAAGTAATGAGCGACAGATTTTGGTCGTAAACCTTCATGTTCTGTCCCATATTAGTTAGTAGAGACAATATTCATCAAACTGGCGGATAAACACTGTGCAGAACGAGTCGATAATGRAGCGAAAGGGTTATGGACAGGCTATAGCGTTCGGAATACACAACGTAATGTGATTGGCTACCGGATATATAATTCACAATGTGATTGGCTACGAAGATGTACCGAGAGCAAACTTTCGACATTGATGGAAAGTAACAGCATTTTACTACACGTCCCCTGCTATGCAWGGTACGTGTAACAAGTGCATAATGAATTGTAATAGTTTACATACAAGTGCCAGGGGGGCACTGCAGCTGGAAATGGATTGAAAGATCAAAGAGAAGACGATATGAAAA